ATTTTATAATTGTATTGTTATTATATTTTGAATGCAGGCTGCACAGCTAATTGCCCTTCCATTCGAAAGTCAGTTGCAAAGATAGCCAATATTGCGTTGGCATTTCTTGCAGAGTAGGGCTTTCAAATATCTTTCAAATATTTTATCGATGATATTTTGTTTTGAAAAAATAACTAATTTGATATGCAACTTTAAAAATATCGATATATAAATATTTTAATTATTGCTTCTTAAACTGTAATCCCTCAATAAATTTATAATCCGTCTTAAAAAATAATAGTAATACGAATAAGTATTTTTTATTTAAATGGAAAAGACCGCTGAAATCCAGTATTCGGTACTCAAAAGCATCATAGTGCATCATTTTCATGCGATGCCATATATAATATGTTAGCACTGGTTTTCATTACTTTAAGGCACAAATTACATTTGGCTGTTCCATTAATACTACGTTTTCACCATATTCAATTTTTGTACATTCGCACTTTGTTGAAAGATATATCGATATAATGATATTTTGATATATTTTCAGCAATCCCTTTACAGAGTGACAATAGTCATTCAAATGTCTGTATTGTAGCATATTTTGAGAATCATAGTTGAGTTTGAATTGTGCTAGAATTCTCTGCTGTTATTTTAGTTTAGGTTTCTTAGCTCTCTCTCTAGAGGTGAATTGAAAGCCGGTATAAATTTCAAGTTGAGCAAAGCTTATTTTCTATTGAATTTTTTTTTTTTTTTTTTTTTTTGTACGAATATGGCATTGTTGGTAAAGGGTTTTTCCCTTAATGTGGATTCCAGCTGTGGAGTATATTTGATAATGCAGATTGGCCGGGGCTAGTCACTCCTAGCACCGCAAACTAGACTTTATTACTTGTTTCAATTTGTTTTATCAAGATTGAGTAATAGCGCTGTAATGCAAACGTATATGGGTGCGACAGATTAAAGCCAAGTTGGAGATTGCTTTTAATTTGTGTTAAGAGAAAATTGAGCTTATCATTTAATATGAAGTATTTATGAAATTGAAGTATGCTCGAAAATAAATTGGAAATTTTTAAAAGTAATTTAGTCAACAACCAATAGGTGTATATATTGGAAGAATAAAAGAAAATTTTGTATATGACAAGGGAGAAATTATTGCAGACCTCAACACACCTTCTCGCTTTAAATGAAGCTTTTTATACTCATTCACGAAAGTTAATTATTATCATTCACGATAGTGAGTTAGTATATTGGTTTTGTGCAATGTCCGTCTTGCTGTCCGTTCGTCCGTCTGTTCGTCTGTCCGTATGAGCGCAGCTCAATTCGGCGCTATTGAAATTTGGAACACATGCTCGTGTATATCTCCGATTTACAAAGGGCTTTAATTTTCGCGATCCTCCCACAGGGCAAACCGCAAAAGCTTATATCTGCTAAAGTATAATAGCTAAAAGCTTCAAATTTGGATAGTTAAGTTACTAGTAACCTCCTTTATCGATGACCCAAAAATAATTTTTACGACTCTTTAGGGGCGTGGCATATCGAAGAATACCCTGTAATTTTCACATTTTTTTAGAGTAAGCATTCAAATATAGTTTACCGTTAGCTCGTTCTATGAAGGGGCGTGGCAAATCGGAAAAGATTGAATTTTCTACAGTATTAGAACGAAACTTAACTACTAAATTGCTGATTGGATGTTAATGAGTATTCCGCAGTCGGTAATGCCCGACTGCAACGTTCTTACTTTTTTGTTATCTAGAAATTAGTAAAGTTTTAAAATAATGAACTGAGTTCTAAAGGTATCTTAAGGTAACTTAAGGTAATCAATACAATTTGAAACACTTTTTCATTAATTAAAAATATGCATCAAGGGCTATTCCTGATTTGTCTATCATTTAACAAATATTTTGCATGAAAATATATATTTTCTTCGATAGTGGGATTGTTAGACAATCGCTTTCTAGGTCTAGGTCAGCCTTATAAAAGGCAAGTGCTTCCTTCTTTCCGCTAGAGTCAAATTAACAATGTCAGTTAAACTTTTGACTTTTTTGCTGCTCCAAACCGCAGTAGCTATCCTGGCGGGCGTTCTCACGATACCTCAGCCCGTGCATCACCAAACTTCGCTAATCAACGAGCTCCTCAGACAACCTCCGCGCATCGGTGGTCGCATTGTTGGTGGCCAACCTATAAACATAACAGATGCTCCATACCAAATCTCGTTACAATTATCGTTTCTAATATTCTCGAAGCATATTTGCGGCGGTTCACTGATCTCGAAGGAGTGGATACTAACGGCAGCGCATTGCACCCGGTAAATTGTTCGAGCTGCAGATCCTACTTTCACAAATTAACTTCTTCTTGTTTCTACTCCAGTG